GGGGCGGAGTAGGAAGCTCAGGGGGAGGATAGAGAGCTCAATTTCTGCTAAATCGAAATGCAAATAGAAGAAGATCGTACATTGTGAATGAATGCAGAATTTGACATTTAATCAAGGATTGGTGGGAAGAACGCCCGCTGGCCAAGTCTTGGACTCAGACATTCCGATTTATTTCAGGAGAGGGGGAGGAAAAGGGAGAAAGGGGGAGAAAAAGGGGGGCAACGGGGGGTAGCTGAGACTCCAGACCCTCGCGGGGAGGAGGCAAGCAATCACTCCTACCGTGATTTATGAAAATATGATGAGCCGTCTTCCAGCAGGATAAGGCTGGGAAATGGACGAACGAACTGAGATTCCCACTTGAAATGCTTACCTATGCACTGGTCTCTAGATGACCAAAAGCGCAAACAACATAGCATAAATACTTGAAGTATGATGAGCCGTCTTCCAGCAGAATAAGGTTGGGAAATGCAGGGACGAACTGAGATCCCTGCTTGAGAGGCCTGCCTATATACTATACTCCAGTATAGATGACAGTCTCTGGATGACCATAGGTGCAAACAACATATCCCAGATCATTAAAAGAATTGAAAGTATGATGAGCCGTCTTCTTGCAAAAAGCGAATTTGGGGAAATAAAAATTGAAAATTCGATAGACATGGTTACCCACAAACCTCTAGATTACCAGAGGCATGAACAACACAACAGAGATAGCATGTATAGGTACAACACAACCACTACCAACAACAACAGCAACAACAACAGCAGCAGCAATACCAACAACAAAAAACAACAACAAACTGAACAACAACAACAATAAAAACAACACCAGCAACGAAAAGAACAAGAATAAGAAGCATAAAAGCAACAACAACTTGTACACTTAGGAGCAACCCATAACAGCAGTCGCATTTATAATTGCAACTGGCTATAGTGATTATGATAGATTTGCTTACCCATACACGTCGTCTAGATTACCAGGGTCAAATAATATAAAAGTGGGGTTCAAAAAAAACCTTGAAAATGTATTCACCCAATCATCGAGTTATAGGCTTGCACTACTCGCTCATGCAGCATACCGAGTTAAAGCTGAATAAATTCTGCATCATCTGACATATTAATATTTCATCTTTGTTAAGAGACGCCCGAGATAATGATATGGTCTCTCAAAATTGACCGTAAAAATCAGGCTCGGCAAAATTGTGTGAAATCAGAGAAACGCAAGTGTGTTCGCGCGAATATTGAAGAGCATCAACATTGGTGGAATGAACATGTATTGAATATCAAATGAAAAGGAAATATTATTGTCTCTGCATTAAACAGCATCTTCTGATGACATTTTCAAACAGATTGGAGAATAGAGCAGTTACATATATCACACAAAACCTGGACTTAACATAACATGTGCTCATTAGCATTAATTTTGGTTTTGTTTTTGGAGTTAACGGTTTTGTGTCGAGCTAGAAACCTTTTTGCACATGGACTGTGTTAGTTAGATTTTAGACATAATCATCTGTCAGTGAGGATGAGAGGCCTCGAAACTGCCATGGTTTTGGGTGGTCTACGCTAGAATGAGTATCACTGGATGGCTTGGTTTAGTGGACTACATCACTAATTTTCGCCATGATGTCATTCAAGTAGACATCTCCTTTCGCAGCAAAGAACTTTCTCTTGGAAAACCAAATCAGATCAACGTTGGAGTGGTCACCAGTAAATCTATAGCCCCGATATGAATCCAACAGCTATCTGAAGAATGAAGTACCACGAAACAGCAGCTAAAGAAAAGAGACTTTGCTTCCACTTCAGACCCTTTGTTTGTAACTCTTTGTGACATTTGGGATGAAATGACGGACACTTATGTCCGAAATTTGACAGAGTTGATGCCCAGAGGGTTCGTGCACTACACAAAACTAATGGCTCCTAAGCAAAATAACAATGAGCACATTTAAAGTTAAAAGTTTTGCATGGTATTTCTGATTGATGTTTTCGGTTATGTTTGAAACTATCGTGACAAAATATCAAAATAGAATGATATTGTTAATTGCAATACAAAATTCTCCAATATTGATGCTCCTCAATACATGCGGTAAGATACTTTTACGCTTCTTTGATTTTGCACAATTTTGCCAAGTCTGAATTTTTAAGGTCAATTTCGAGTGACCATATCCTCGGCGCCTGGTATGCTGCATGAGTAGGTAATGCGAAGCTTTAACACTATAATAAGGTAAATCTACTAACATTTTCAAATTTCTTTTGGACGCCACAGTATAACAACATAACAGAAAGGATATAGTGGCTGGTTGACGAGTGCTCCGGTATGGTTTGCTTCCTCTTTCATATCAAATTTTCTTTTTTTTCAAATTAGTCAAATATGTCCGTCTGTTTGTTTAAACACTGTGCCCCACTCCGCCGGCTGAGCTGACCCAAACCAACAGCGTCAAAGCAGCCCCGTTTACCAAGCGATCTAAGCTGTAACGATAGGGGTGTGAAACGTTTACAGTAAAAAGACTCGCAGCATC